CGACAGGAAAGCTCCACTTGGATGTGCAGAGCTCAGCTCCCTGCAAACAAAGATGCCATCTCCACTCACATCAACACCGAGAGGCCAGGCACTATACAGACCCACAGGAGGGCTGGGGCTGAGACAGAGCCCAAACCCCCAGCCACCCCTTATCTGTCTCAAGAACCCATGGTCCAGGCTGCCTAGGGCCTGCACAGCAGCCCCATGTTCTCACCTCTCATTCTTGTTCATGCGGATGCAGCCCTCGATGATCTCCTTCAGCTCTGGCACTTTCACTTTATAGAAGCTGTTGGGTTTCAGGCCCTGTGGAAGAGCAGTCACCCTAAGTCCAGCAGGTCCCTTCCTGCAAGGGCCACCCACAGCTCAAAGGATTGCTTAGTGGTACAGGGCTCTCCCAGACTGGCGTATGGGCAAGGGACATGCTCCCTCCAGGTCTCTGGGGCCTCAACCTACAGGGCTACAAGCTGAGCATGGAAACAGCTCCACTGGGAGGGTCTTAGAAGAAACACCTCCCTTACCCAATCACTCACCTTTGGACATGCCCTTGCCATTCACAACCTGCAGAGACAGAGCCTTTCACCCCACAGCAATGACTAAGCTCAGCAGAACTGCTCAACACCAGGCCAGGGCCAGGACTGCTTCCACCCACCAGCAGTGAGGTCCTCCTTCACCTCCCTGCACCCCCACAAGTTTGCATACATGGGGGCAATTTAAATTCCTGAGGCTTGTGGCTTTCAACTCCCAGGTCAGCAATCAGGCAACAAACCGGCCCCGCACTGGATCCAGCCAGCTCAGAGTGACTGAGGAGCTCAGGGCACAGAGCCAGATGGGAGCGGCTGGGACTGGCTCCCCCCCCCCAGCACGCCTGCAGCTGCTGCCCATGCACAATGCCCACTAGACATGCTGAGGAACAGCTGGTGGGGAGTGGATGGCAGCCAGGAGCAGAGCAGGGGCTGCAGTGACAGCATTGCAATGGGAAGGGAAAGCAGCCTTACCCAGGAACAGCAGAGGCCTCCAGGTAGTGCAGACCACCTGCAAGGCCAGGACAGGGCAGCCTGGAGAAAGCAGAGGCTAGATGCACCCCCAAGAGCAATCCTCTCCACTAGCCCCACCTCTCAGGCACAGGCAACCAAAGCAAGCCAAGGGGACAGATGTAACAGTCTCAGCCCAAGTACCTGAAAATGCACAACTGTTCCTGGCACAGCCCCTGGGGCAGGAGGGACCCCTTGGAAGCAAGGCCATCCAGCACAGGGCAGTGCACACCAGCATCAGGGGCTCAGGGCAGCAGAGACAGTGCTAAGGATAGGGCCACTCTGAGCATAGGGGTGCCCAGCTGCCCCAGGGGGCTCACTACAGAGGGAGGGCACATCAGCTGGCAAAGGCTGCATGTGTAACAGAGCCAGAGCCCAAGCTGCTGCAGATCCCTTGTGCTGCCTGGCAGGCCCCTGCTGCCTGCCTCCACGTAGGGGAGCAGCTTTCCAAGGTCAGGGCTGTACAGAGAAAGGCAGGTGCCAGGACTGGCCAGACTCCACACTGCTGCCAGCTGAGGCACACATCCTCCCAACCTTGACAGTTATTTTTAGCATCTTACATAACTTGTGAAGTGATGGACTCAAGGAGCTGGTGAAGCCTGACAGTCCTGGGCAAGAGACTGGCCCTAAGCAAGCCTGCCCCATCAATAAGCTCCCCCCCAGCCCTGCTCATCCCTGCACTCTCACTGCTGCCCAAACAAGCCTGGAAATTCCCCAGTACACCCAGTCCATTGAGCCAAACCCTTGCCCTCACCTGGTCCCATAGCCCTAGGGATCGCCAGCCTCACATCAGGGACGTGGACATGGCAGTCATGCTGCCAGCAGCATACTCCATGGCCCAGGAGCTGCCTGCAACCTGCCTGGACAGCCCAAACCTGCAGGGCCATGCCACCTTACATGCTGCACTGCAGAAGTGGCAGCAGTGCCCAGGAGGATGCAGGCAGCCCTCAGAGTGAGTGGAGAGCCCAGGGCTAGGATGGCACATGAAGACAGGCCCCGCAGGGAAGGGCTGATAAGGCTGGCAGGCACTCACTCACCGAGGTGACCTTGCGGTAGATCTGGGCGGCGTTCTGGCACTCTGAGTATGGGTACTCTGAGGTGGCCATCTCCAGCATGCACATACCGAAGGCATACACATCCACTGCCTCATCGTACTTCTCCTCGTACATCTCCGGGGCCATGAACTCTGGAGTGCCTGGGGGGCACACAGGACATGGCTCAGGACCAAGACCTGGGCAGCTTGGGGAAGATGTGGTGGCTAGAGCCCAATACCACCCGCTGTCCAATCCAAGGGCTGTAGGAACGGCCATACCCCAAGGCCATCCTGCTGCCCAAGGGCTACTTGGAGCCCTCCTGTTTCATGAGGTGCAGTAGCTGGAAACCTTAAGCTCAGCAGGCTTCATGCCCTTGATTCAAGCTAAGGCTCCTGTGCCCCCAGCCAGACCACACACAGCTCCTTGAAATGTTTGGGACTCAGCTGTGACAAGAGACACTTCCCCCCCAGGGACCTGGCTATGTGCACAGCCCTGTGCTAGGGCATCAGAGGAAAGGTCTTGCCCACATACCTATCACGCTTTTGGCAAAGGAGGCTCGCTTGAGTGTGGCCAGGCCCAAGTCCCCAATCTTAACAGAGCCTGTGGGGCCAGTGATGAAGATGTTGTCACACTTGAGGTCACGGTGGATGATGGGAGGTGAGCGCGTGTGCAGGAAGTGCAGGCCTCTGAGGATCTGCCGGCTCCAACGCTGCAGGACCTTCAGCTTCATCTCCTTGAACCGCTTCAGGTAGCTGCAAGGGACAGAAGAGGCAGCTGTGAGCAGTGGGCACTCCAGATGAGCCGCACCTGCAGGGAGGTGGCCTGGGGCTGGGCTTGGAGACACCCTGATGGTGTTGCCAGATGCACCTCCCACATACCTGTATGGCCCTAACACATCACTGCCCTCTTGACTGGGAGGCACCCAAGTGACCAGAACCTGTGAGGAGCCCATTTCGGTACCCAGTTGCCCCAGCCTGCATGAAGAACGTTCTCCTCCCACAGGCTGCAAAAAGCAGGAGCCAAGCTCCAAAAGCGCCAGGAGCAGGCCAAGACACCAGTGTGGGAAGCCCAGCCACAGCAAGTGGCCAGAGATGCAGCATGAGGAAGTGACATTGTACAGGCAACACCACCAGCTGCTGGTCAAGCGGAAAGTGCCACACCCTGGGGCTGCAGACCTGGGCACATGGGGCCAAACCCAGTTACTGAGCACCCAGCAGCAGCGTTTTGTTGCACTGTCCACCAGCTCCAGGGCCTCTTCCCACGCTCAACTGCAGCCATGCCAGCCCAAGGGGATGGCAGACTCTGCCCAGCACACAGTGGGCCTGGACAGATTCTGGCAGAGATGGCTGGAAACATGTCCTGCTTTGTACTGGGCCTCACTCCACGCGCCTGCAGCATGGCCCAGGTTGCTGGGAAGTCACACACACACACACACACACACACACACACTGCTTGCCCACTGCCCCATGCTGTGCATTTCCTCACCCTGACATACACTATACGTCCCCACCTATCCATCACCATAAAACCTAAGACTCCCTCTCCCCACATCCCTTTCCCCCCCCCCCCTACCTTTCCCCCAACCTTAAAATACTCACGTTTTCAGGGTGCCAGATGTCATGAGCTCAGTGACCAGCACAATGCAGACCTGACCCTTGACACATGACTTCCAGGAGTCATAGAAGCGGACAATGTTGGGATGCTGCAGTCCCTTCAGCATCTCCACCTCCTCACTGAAGCGCTGCCGCTCAGACTTTGAAAGCTTCCGGGTCTGCAAGGAGACCAGGTAGGTGGCATGAGTGGTCACAAGGGACCTGGAGTTTGATGGACTGGGGAGCATCTGCACAACAACAGGCTGGCAAGGAGGGGCTCTTGTACCCCACTTACTCTCCACAGCAGCAAGGTGAAGCCAAGGGACTCCACTTAGGGATTGGGCAGTGACCCTTCAGGCACTGCCACACCCTGAATGTCTCAGGGCATTCCAAGACATGCCTTGCTGGCTGAGGTGGTTACTGGATGGACAGTGCAGGCCATACAGCCTGGTAGTAGGGGCACCGAGACCATGCTCAGTCCCCACATTCTCCATCAGTTCACTTGTTGTGGGAGAGAAAGGACTGAATGCAAGACCTGGAGCTGATGCAGTCACAGGGCCTTGGCATCAGCCCTGAGTACCTGCTGTAGCCAGATGTGTTGTGCTGTGCAACTGCCTGCCACCCCCACACAGCTCACAGGCTCGGCTTGCCAGCATCATGCACAGTATGCAGGTCAGGATGTGTGCAGCTTGCTTCATGGGCTGAATCATTACAGAGGGGTCCCAACTGGGGAGGGTAAGCTAGACGCACTGGCCTCTCTCTGTTCAAAGGGGTAAAGTTTACTTACTTGCTAGCAAAGCCAGCCCACCTGTCTCATCCCAGAGTGCAGGCTGGGATTTGCTCCACAGGCCAGGCCAGGAGACCAGTGCCCACAGCAGGAAGGAGCTCAAGCCAAGCCTGCCTCTCCAACCCTAGTCAAGGCAACACACCCTTGTGCAGCACAACTGTCCCATGCCACAGTACTGGAAAGCAACATGTACATGGCAGGGGCACCTGGGAAAGTGCCCATCATGGGCCTATGCAGATGGGCATCAGAAGAAAGGTCTTGCCCACCACATACCTATCATGCTCTTGGAAAAAGAGGCCCACTTGAGTGTGGCCAGGCCCAAGTCCCCAATCTTAACAGAGCCCATGGGGGATGAACTGAGCTTGGTGAATCCCTGTTCATAGCTCAGGCTGAGTGTACACACACACACACACACACCACCCCCATAAGGAATACCCTAAGGCTCCAGAACCAGCTCCTGCCACCTGGTGTCCAGAGAGGCATCTTTTATGCCAGACAGAGGGACTGCCCACAGCTCCCTGCTATGCCCACTGGGACAGCAGATTCCCTCAGGTCAGCTTCTCATTTACACCACTGGAAACGAGCAGCAGCAGGGCAGGGAGGAGCCAATACCTGCCCCAAGACCATCAGCACTGCTATCCTATGCTGCTCTCTCAGGGAGGGGATGCACAGCACGTGGCATGCAAGTCCTGTGAGCACCTTGACAAGGGGCACCAGGCAACCTCAGTGCAGCCTTTGCTGGACAGCACAGATGCAGCAGCTCCATCCCCTCACAGACATGCTGCAGCTGGGTGGCATGTAGGGCAGTGACATCCTCTTTGCTCATGTAGCTTGCAGGGTGGCAAAGCAAGCACTCCCCAACCCCCTGTCAGGCATCAGCAAAAATGCCTAATAATGACCCCTAGAAGAAATTCTCCATTCTTCCCCCATGTATATGGAGCATAGGATTCCTGCTTGCTGCTTTGGTGCAAAGTGGCATCATAATTCCCAGCTGAGCACAGGGCTTGGGGCAAGGGGTGCAAGGTGAGGCAGCTCCCAGGGTTTTCCGAGGCCAGACACCCTCCATCAGCTACTTCAAGGTACAAAAAACGATACTTTGGGGAGAAAGAGCTGGCTCCTTCCCACCCCTGTGATCAGCACTTGCAGAGTGAGTAGGGGCACAGGCCAGCCAGCGTCTCTTGGCAGTGCCCTACCTGGGTCACACAAATGCAGCAACGGGGGAGGGAGCTGCATCTGGCCCAGACAGCAGAGCTGCAAGGGACTGTCCTTGTGGCCCAGCAAGCCAGGGGGGAACACAGTTTCACAGCTCAGAGGTTCTCTGGGATTGCAGGCCTGCATTCTCCAATAGGCCTCAGTCAGCTCTTCCCCTAGGCAGGTCTGGGTGCTGGAAGTGGGAAAGGTGGGTGCTCATTCAAAGGGGACTTAGCCCCTTTTCATCTTCTAGAACAGGAGTCAGCCCTGGCACCAGGTAGGTAGCGAGCAGGAGCAGTGAGCTGTGGGACAGATCTGGAGCTGCCCAGTTGAGTCAGGCTTCCCACACCTCAGCCCCAGCAGCTTGGCTGCTCTCTGGTTGGAGGAGTCTGATTAGTGGCAGGCGGCAGCTATGCTCCCAAACACTGGAAGCAGGAGGCTCCAGGGAGTAGCTAAGCCCTTTGGCTCCCAGTCGCCATAAATCAGCCTAGCATCTTTCACAATATTTGTGTTGCATCATAACTGGTCCTGCAGCTGCCAAGCTCCCCACATGGGGCCGTTCCATAATCCCCTCCTTTCTGAGCACATGCTCAGGGGCCAGACACAGTCCAGCACAGTGCAAACCCACCAAGAGGAGCTGGGATGAATGGGACCTTTCACATCCAGGAAGAGTTTAGCCTGTGGGGGCCTCCCATCCACGATTCCGGTTCTAGCCTAAAGCATCCCCTGCTAGCAAGCCAAGGGAGGGGCAGTACCTCTGCTCTAAGGCTGCCCCACACTCCTGACATACTGCCCCCTTCCCATGCTGCCCAGTCTCTCTCTCAAGCCAGGATGACCAGAATGGAACACGCTGCAAAAACATTTCTGTGCCAGGGGCCAAAATGCCCAGGGAGCTCCAGACTGAGTCCTGACAAACTCTGAGGGAAGGCCAAGCCAAGGTTGGTTACAAGCAGCAGCCAGACAGAAGCCACTACAGTGCTTAGATCCCTCTGCCTTGGAGAGGTTGAGGGACGGCCTGCTCAGGTCCCAGCCCAGGGGGTGAGGGGTGGTTCCCTCTCCTCAAATGCATGAGAACTTGATTCAGACAATTTGAGCCCTTTCCCTGCAATCTGATCCTGGACCTTGTGAGCTGCTGCTGCTGCTGGGACAACATGAGAGCCAGGGGCTGCCCTCAAACCGCTACAAGGCTTACAGGGTGAAGTTAGAGCACACCAACTCCCCACATGAGCATAACTCCAGGGCCTGATGTTTGTGCCCAAAACACCCCTCCGCTTCCCTGCTCAACAGCTGTGAAAGCACATCCTGCCCCTGGCCCGGGACCCCAGCAGCAGGAGGCCAATCAGCTGGCTGCCATGCTCTGCCAGCCATTGCTCACCTTCTTGTTCTCGATACAGCACTATGGAGAACTGGGGCCTAGTGCCCAGAGTTGCAGGATGGGAGCCAAGACTCCTGGGTTCCATCCCTTGCAGCTTCACGACATTTAGTACTGGAGCAACAGTCTGCCACATGGACCACTTGCCCCGACATACCCAGCAGCCCCAAACTGCCCACAACCAACAATGCCAGGGGAGGAGGGCATCTTTGTCCCTGCAAGCTCCAGACCCCCTACCCAAGGAAGCATGCCCAAGGAGCCCACTCCGTGGTGACACACAGGGGCAGGAGACATGCAGCCTGGCTTGCCAGCAGGGACACAATGTACTCTCCTAATAGCCACCTGGTAGGGGTGCAGAAGGACACTGAGAATCGCAGGCACTGGAGCCATGTAGCAAGCTGAAGTGGAAACAGTCCAGCCCGCCCCTCTTCCCCCCAATCCCTCCCCTGCCAGGAGAAGCATGCTCCTGGGGTGTTTTCAAGGGCTGATCTGAGGGTGCTCTAGCCAGTGGCCACAGGAAGAGGGAGGGGCAGGAGACAGCAAGGAGGGGCTGCAAGTGTGGCTGCAGCAGCATGTTTTCCTGGACACGGGGGAAGAGATTGGTGGTGCAACTGAAGCTGAAGCCATCACACCCCTCTGCCAGGGCTCAGGCTCTCCCCCAGCACTAAGGGCTTCTCATTCCCAGTGCTGCTGACAGCTCTGCTGAGCACTCCAATCCCCCCACCGCCTCATCCCACAGGTGAAGAGCCCAAGACAGTGCCTTTCCCAAAGCCACAGCTTCTCAAGTGTCCGGGCTGGGATCAAAACCCAAGAGAAACTGGCTCCTTGCCCAGCACTGGCCCTGCTAGGCCATGCGGCCGACACGTGTCTATTCCTGCT